GTCGTTAGGCTCATTTGTGGTTTCAAAAGGTAAAAATACTAAGGCGACAAACAAAACACAAATAGCAAGTTTGGGGAAGCATATAAACAAATAAAAGGCCTGCCTGCTGGTTGTAGCTAGTAAAACCTAATTCAGTTTATAAGTTATCCTGTGGCTTGCCTAAGTGATAGACGAAAACCTATGGGCATGATATCTACAGATTTCAGAAACAAGAATATGAACTGATTACATACTGATTTAAGAAAAGTTGCCAGTTAAAAGCGAGTTTTAGAAGTGCACAAGTTCTGCCATTGTAATACATTATTACTGCTAGTTTTAGACTTATAAACGAGTGAGGTGATTTAGATTCGGTTAAAGCTCCTATAGGCATGCTTTTTATGCGTTTGTCGACTTTAGAACACATTTTATAGACATAGTAAAAAAATGCAGAAACCCTATAGGCATGACATCTAAATGCTGGGTTTTATATGAACAGGACATCTGATTGCGTTTGGTTATTAAGACCTATAAACACGTTTGCCTAGTGAGAAGTGGATATGCAAGGATCAGAAAGGACCTATAGGCATATTCTCTACATGCATATGCATCCTATAGACATGGTATCTATACATGAGAGTGCAAAAATCCTATAGACATATTATCTACGTATGAGAATGTTGAAATTAGAAAATCCTATAGGCATGTTATCTACATGGAAGAATGCAGGATTCTTATAGGCATGGTATCTATGTGAAAGAATGCAGAAATTCCTATAGACACGGTATCTATATGAGAATGCTGAAATTAGAGATCCTATAGGCAGGTTACCGACGTATGGAAGTGCAGAAAAACAAAAACTCCTATAGGCAGGTTATCTACCCTTTGCATACATGGTTACCCTTCCCTTTTTCACTAGCCAACCCCAAAAGTTTTATTACAAAGTTATTACAACCCAGAAAAGTAAAATAAAGAAAAATACATCATAAATTAAAAATTACAACCAAGGAGAGCCTGATTCAGGCTTCCTGTCTGAAGTATGAAGTAAACCAACTCCAAAGATCAGATTTCAAAGCCTTTCTCTCATTTGGGGTGTGTCAGAGTTCCCTAAGAGCCTCACATGGACTTCGGGCAGTGCTTACACCCTAAATACATTACCAGACTAGGACATAGTGCAGTGTGAAAGGGCCAGCCCTCAAGTGTCCAAGTTCAGAGGGAACTCAAGGTCCCAAGGCAAGGCTCACAAGAGGGGGGCATAACTTAGGAACTAAGAGAGAGTGCAAGTGTAGAAGTGGAATTCTTAATGGGGAAAAGGAAGAGGGAAGCAATTCACATTAACACACATAGGGGATAGGGAATGGGGGAATTTGCAAGAGCAAAAAAAAAGCAGGCTGATGGGCACACCTAGCAATGGGATATGCTGGCACACCCTCCAGCCTGTTTATATAGAGGTTAAGACCCCATTGGGTCAAACTTAATTCATGGACAACAATTCATGTTGTCATGCCTTAAGCCACAACTCTCAAACACATAGGGGCAATAGGGTAGGGGAGCAAGGATTCATAACAGAAACAGACAGAAAGATATGAGCATATTTAATTTAAACAGAAACAATACAGTAGACATGGATAAAAGCTGTAAATGAACACATTGTGGTGATGCTGAAACTTAAATTAGGACATGCCAGTTTCAAAGAAGCAAATAGAGAAAATGCAGTAGTCTTGTAAAAGCCACAGTGCAGACAAAACAAGAGAGTAAGAGTTCAGAAGAGATTGTGAATTGTGAAGTGGAGGATTGTTAAATCGTGTGTGCTGTGTGTTAAAGAGTCGTGTATTTATAGTGTAAGAATCATGAGAAAATAAGGTAAGAAAATGGTTGAAGAACTGATTGTCAATCAATTACACAAGACTCCCTTTAATTAAGGGATTCAGATTCGAACGGGTAAAAACCAATTAAGGAAAGAAATTGAATAAACACTTTGTTCACAACATCAAATTAAGGGCACATACATAAAAAGGTTATTTAAGGACAAGGTTTTGAAGTACACGGTTTGTGCAAATAAGGTAAGAAGATCAATTAACCACTAGTAAATCAAATGGTCCGAGATTTTGTATGAATGAACCAAGTCAGAAAAAGTGAAGAAGGGTTTTACTTAGGTCGAGTAACAGAGAAAATCAGTAAACAATGGAAAGAAATCAATCAAGCTATATTCAGAAGGAAACTTGAACTAGTTGCAAATTCGAAAACCACTTAGAGGGAAATCCATCATATATAAAGAGCATGTGAGCATGAAAGAAGACTGGCATGTTACTGTAAATCTATAGAGAAATCCAGTGTAGAAGAGTTTTAGTAAAAAGGTCAAAATCACATGAAAACAAGGAAGCCCCAAACTCAATTCAGAGTCTTGAGGTTGGTCTGAAAGAATTAGGGGTTTTGAAATAAAACATGGTAGAAGAACATACGGGAACATGGTAGAAGAAAAAAGCACAAGAGCACAGTAAAAGTATACGAGATCATAATATAGGAAAGCACAGTAAGAGAAGCATATAAGAACATGATACAAGAACACAGTAGAGACAAATACACACGAATGCCAAAGAAAAATCATAAAAACACTTAAACACTTTTCAGAAAACCCTAAATCGAAAAGAAAGGTTTTGAAAGTGATTTTTGAAAGAAAAGTTGGGGAAATCATTTGGAAACTCAGGGAAAGCATAGATGCACCACAGATCTAAAGAAATCGGAGAAAACCTCGAAAGGTTAGGGTTTCAGAAGAACCCTAGAAATGAGAAAGGCTTTGAGAGGTCACCGATCTGTGTCGGAGAGGTCAGAACCAGGCTCAAACAACCATGGTACGCCGGAGCAAGGCCGGAGATGACCCTGAGACCTCGAACCGACGGTGGTCTGGGTTCAACCCTTCATAGTCAGGCCTCGAATCTTCAGGTATCAGGCACGTAAGAGCACCAGGAGGTAGGTGTAAGACTCCTATAGCTTTAATGGTCATAGATTCCGGTGGATTTCAGGGCGGAGGTGGCTAGGGTTAGAGAAGGTTCGAGAGTGCTTGAGAGAGGGGAGGGTTTCAGAGGCGGCGAATAATTGAAAATGATTTAGGGTTGGGGGGTTTGGTATATTAATAAAGGAAAGAATGCGTGTGAGCCGGCTAGGATTAAAAGAAGGGGTTCGGGCAGGTTATTTGAGTGGGCCAGGGGCGGGTAATTTAGGAATTGGGCCGGGTAATTTGGGATTGGGATTGGTTTTAATTGGGGGGTTGTTTTAGGCTAAAATTGAAATGGTTAGGGCTAGCATTTAAATAGCCATTTTTTCCTTTTTATTTTATAAAAATAGCAAAATCATTTTTGAAAATAAATTAAAGGTACTAAATTAATTAATAATGTATAAATATTGAATTAAAAATATTGGAATCAATTTTACAATTATAAACGCAATTAATTCTTAAAATAGGCTAATATCGCAATTACATGCAATTTAGCTTTAAAATACTAAATAAATTTGTAAAAAATATGCAAAAAAATTACCTTAGCTATATTTTGGTATAAATATGAGAATACAATAAATGAATCACAAAAATGATCGTTTAGGGAATACTTATTGATTTTATATTGATAAAATAGGGCAACAAATTGATTTTTAAAAAATAATAAAACGCCTAGGCATACGTATATATGCATACATATGCTATTTTGAAAGGTATTTTGCATATAAAAAAATATATACGGGGAAAAATTGGGTATTAACAACTGGTGGCTTAAAACTAAGATATATTAAAAGACCCTGAAATTTCTTTCATAATATCCATATAATATTGAGACAAAAAAAGTGGTGAGAGAACAACGTATAATATGTGGGTTAGGCGTAAGTCATACGGTATTGAACTCCCTATAAAAAATATAGCATTAAATAAAAATGGTAAAAGGATTGAGCCTATTATCGATCGTATTTTGAACCTTAAAATAATTGTCTCTGCGATTTCTTAATTAAAAAAAATTAGACACAAAAGAACTTAATTACTGATATGAGGATCTATCAAATGTGACAAAAAGGAAAACTAATTTAGAGAATTTGATTTTAAATTAGAAAGTAAAATAGTAAAAAATATGAAAAAAGAAAGAAAGAAAAATAGAATTGATGAGAAGATAAATATATTATTTAATTTAGTGAGAGAAAAGTTTTATGTTATTAACTCATTCAATCCTACGTCTACCAAATTTAAATAAATATTAGAATTTAAATCATTTTTACTTGTCACTTTACCCATAAAAAAAGAAGATAAACTTTTTTCCCTGTTATACCCACAATATTTATTATTCATTTCAAATCATTTTCTCAAATCCAATATATTATGGGTATTATGGTAAATTATGCACTTTATTTATTATTTCTTAAGGGGGGTGAAAAGTCAAAGCGTGCCAAGTAAAAGTGAACGGGGACTACGTATTTTAATTAGAAAACTTGGAAAGGAATCAAATTTATTGCACTTCAATAGAGCAATTAATTTGGACACACGTATTTTGGGAAAGCTCCTGCTAATCCACTAAGCAAATATTTGGGAGTAATTTAAGCTTTCAAAAGTTGCAAAAATAAAGGATGAAGTTGAAAAATAATGAGATGATTTGATAGTATTTACTTTAGTATGTATTTACTATTTACCTTCAAAAGTAGTACTCAGAGAGCCATATTACGATTTTAACTTTTTGAAAGAACAGTAAAGTTCAGCTAATAGTTTTTTTTCTACTATCTAAATATTGCAAAAGTACATGTTTATCATATGATCTTTTAACTATTTTATTCTTTTTACCAAAACATTTCAGTGCAAGAATTCTCTGTTTCTAAGGTTATTTGATTACCGGAACGAGGATACTAATTCCGGAAAATATATGAGCATATATTTATTTTATATTTGGTTATAAATATTAGCTAGTGATAAGACAAATTTATACCAAAATAATTGTATAAATTACATATATTCTTAAATATTTTGACAGGATTATGAAGCCATTGAAAAAACTCATTCGAATGTTAAGTGAATGCTTTCAACCAGCTCCTCCTCCCCGTCCCAATGAAGCCAATCTTGCTTTCATGGTTAATCTTCTTTTTCCCGAACACGTGTTCTCACCACTCTTATTTCAATTATGATTCAAATATTAATATTGGTTTTAGTGATTTTTCATATGCATCTATACATTCAGTTGAACCTGTTGCATATGGTTGATGTAAACTTTATTTGATTCTTTTTTGAAATTTCTCTACAGGTTTGTGTAATTAAAGTTAAAGTTCGTTCTGTTGGTTGGCAAAAGGCAGTGAACAGAGTGTTGAGTAGCACAAAGGGTAGGGTATGGTAGAGTTTAATATTTTAATAACTAATTTTATTTTCGAGATTACTAATTTCACTTTTTTATAGATGGTTAGTAATCTTTTTGGTGATATAAATATAAAATCTCTTTTATATCGTCTGTGTATATTAGTTAAACTCAATAATTATTTGTTATTTGGTACAGTATATATATGTGTGATAGTTTCTTGAGAGGCTCTTTATAATTTTTTAATTTTTAAATGCAGGAGTGCGTCAATTCAAATTGAAAGAAGATGGAAAGGTGGAAGTATCAGGGATAGTGGATCCAGCTTTATTAATGAGAAATCTTGCTAAATCTGCAGAATTAGAATGGATTCAATTTGGTCAATGTTCCAGCAATTTGTTTCTTCCTTCACAACCTCCAAAACCACCCGAAAAAGGACCCTTTAGTCAAGGACCATTTCGTAATTTCAATCACCCCAGGTTTGCTCTGCCCCGGCACGGCGGATACCACGGCCTACAACCGCCTCCGCCTCCGCCTCCGCCTCCGCCTCCGCCGCCCTTGGCGCCTTATTCCAGGTCTGGGCTGCTGCCGCCTGCATTTTATGGACATGATTCTAGAGATGGTCATATTAGCAATTGCAATGCTATGTAACTAGTCTAATTAAACCTATTTACAGTAATAGTGTAAAGAATTTTTATATGATCAATGCAATTTAAACAAGTTATTACTTTATTTATTAGGTTACGTATGAGACTTAATATAGAGAGTTAGTTATTTGTTGATGTAGATCTAACTTGATTTGATAGTATCATTTACGGACTGTCTTGTTAATCTTCTTAGTCCGTTGTCTTTTTGGTCCCAATTTGTGAAGATTTACTAGAGTTAGAGATTACTAGTTAAATGGTGAAAATTTCAAAGACCTTTTGAATGGGGAAGGGAGGGCAAAAGTTTTCGGTGAGACTCAGAGTTTATTTACAAAGGAAAAGTATTATTGTCTTGTTTTTTTTTTTCCTTAAATTTTTTTTTTCAATACGATGTTGTCAATAATGTTCTGCATTGTTCCAATCCTGCTTAATTTCTGCTATTGTACTTTTTTAAATGTAGTTTCGAGTAATTAATGGGCGATGCTCTGGAAAGGATCTTCAAATCATGATTTGTCTTTAACGCTAAAATTCAGATTTCACATATGCTTTGACAATCTCTATGACATTAATCGTCAAATTTGACCCTCAGCATCTCTACGCCAGTGGGTACGCCCAGTGAGTGTACGCCGACTAACGTAGCAGGTACGACTCGGCCGTGGGGACAAAAGCGACATCGTTTAGGACTCAGTGTCTTCACTAGGGAGACGTTACCTGTCTTTGTAACTTTTTGATTCTTTCGAGGAGGGTCTCTTATTATATAAAGGAGACCCTCGCATTGTAAAAGGGGCATCTGATCTAATACAACTCTCTCATTCTCTGGCTTTCTCTCTCTATCTCTACTTCAAACGAACGTATCTTATTGAGTTCATATTATCATCTTTGCATCTCTAGGATTATTATATTTGATTACGATTTACCCTTTTCCTACTTTTGATTGTTTTTTAGCTTACAAAGTATATCGTTAACTTTTGAGCCAAACAATTTGGCGCCGTCTGTGGGGATTTCGAGAATCAAAACCATAGTATCCACCTAGAGATCAACCAACTACCACTCTCTACACCTCACAAAAACAGAAAATGGCCGAAAATAACACAAGATCGAAAGCGATATTGGGTGTCACTACTAATCTCCTTGGCCCT